TGGGGGGGGGGGGGCTTGAATCCACCTCTGCTCAAAACATTCTTTATCCAGAATAGTCATAATCACGAAAAATGGACATTCAATCACTAAGACATACATCAGGAGCCGACTCGATGGAGTTTAATGTCATACCCAGGGAAGGGCACAGATCTGTTTTAAAAGGTGAAGGGGGAAGGCATTTTGTGAGTCGACACCCACTTCAGCCCCACAATGGTTGGAGCTGAGGTGAGAAAATTTGAGGAAATAGTACCTCTAGATGGCTAGAAATGACACTTTTAGTAAAATTCATCATCACCACATCACCATTAGTCAAAATGAAGCGCCAAAAAAAATTCTCATGATCTTTCATCAGGGATTTTTGACAATCATAGAGATCTTATTAATGTGTATGTGTATACCATAGAAAACAAAGCTTATAAACATTGTCTTTGAATATGTACTTTACATAGGCCTACTTCGAAAACGTGATTTCACAACCACCTCAGCCCCACCATGGCTGGGGTTGAGGTGAGAAAATTTGAGGAAATAGTACTTCTCGAGATGGCCGGAAATGACACTTTTATATAGTAAAATTCATCATCATCACATTACCATTATAGTCAAAATGAAACGCCAACAAATTTCTTATGATCTTTTATCAGGAATCTACTTAATATCCAGGACAACTTAGGCCTAATTATAGCTTACTAAGCTTTAACTATATATACTATAGTATGATCAACAAATCATAGCTTTTTTTTCGCATTTAGCACAATTTTCTTCACTTTTTATTGCTATTAATATTATCATCAATTATTCCTATCGTCATCATCATCATTGTTATTATTATTATTATTATTATTATTAGTATTATTAATAGTATTATTAAACAAACATGATCTTTTATCAGGGATTTTTGACAACCATAGAGATCTTATTAATGTGTGTGATATACCATAGAAAAAAACATAGAAGAAAAAAGCTTAAAAACATTGTCTTTGAATATGTACTTTACATAGGGCTACTTCAAAAACGTGATTTCACAACGTCCTCAGCCCCACCATGGCTGGGGCTGAGAAATGACACTTTTATATAGTAAAATCCATCATCATCACATTATCATTATAGTCAAAATGAAACGCCAACAAATTTCTCATGATCTTTAATCAGGGATCTACTTAATATCCAGGACAACTTAGGCCTAATTATAGCTTACTAAGCTTTAACTATATATACTATATATTATGATCAACAAATCACACCTTTTTTTCGCATTTAGCACAATTTTCTTCACTTTTTATTGTTATTAATATTAATATCAATTATTACTATTGTCATCATCATCATTGTTATTATTATTATTACTATTAGTAGTAGTATTATTAAACAAACATTTAAAGAAACTTGCAAAAGGATAAAAACGAAATTGAACCACTGTATCGCATTTCTATCTTAAAAGACCTGGCCTGAGATTTATGGATTTAAGATTTTTTAAAATCACGCTTAGGCCCATGTGTTCTATTATGCCTATGTATAACGTGTACTGATGCATATTTACATGTTTAGAAGTATTCATTTTGAGTGATCCCAGGAAAGAATTTGTATTGGCTCAAGAATAAGCTTTAAAATTTTAACACTGTGTACAAAAGGGGGGAGCCGCGGCTCCCACGGCTCCCCCCTGGATACGTCCCTGGTGCAGATTAAAAACAAAATAATTTTGATTGAAAGTTGCCAACGAGGAAGTTTTTACTGAAAATTGATCAGAACAAGTTACCGTATTAACCGAAAAACATTGAGGATCCTGAGAATTTATCAACCTGATATCGACAACCAGTCACCTTATGAAAAGACTGCTGAAAGTAAGTAAGACGCCAAAGTAGTCATCAGGTTTATAAAACATCCAAAATTATTTCTGAGGGTATTCATACAGCACTTTACATGTTGTTCATTCCTCATACTGTACAGTACATACACCATGGATACAGTAACTCTATGCATATAACAAATACATTTTTTTTAACTATCTTGAAAAATATCAGGCCAGTAAAACAATTAAATATTGGGTCCTATAGTACTTTTTAAATTTTAAAAACCATGTGTCTTCCTCACGTTTTAAAATATATACCCAGATATTCAGCTATAAATAAATTTGCTATAGGCCTATATTAATCAGTGGAAAAATATTATTGAAAACAAATTTCTAGGTCAATATATAATCTGGCTGTCCCAGAAAAAAAACAATAGAATTTCTTTTATATTCTTGTTAACTTTGAATCATTTTTGGTAATTTAATTACTGGTCACATTTTGTCCATTGCTCACATAAAATTTTGTCATATATTATGGTTCTAGCTACGTGTGAGGATAACTTTAGAGAAACATTGGTCAAAATTTTATAATGGAGGGACCATGTAAAACAATACGATAGTTTGCATTGTAACTTTACAAAACCATAACTAAATCACTTTACAAAAACACAATGTAGAAAAGATAGAAAAGATAATAGGGACAATGTAAAACAATGGGATAATTTAATTGTAACTTTACAAAAACAATTAAATCTATTAAAAAAAATATTGTTTATATTGTATGCAAGCAGTCAAATTGGAATTAAATCCAAGCTTTTTATGCCTAATAACCTAAAGAACTTTTTGTAATTTCAATTATTCTACAGTTGCTGAAGACACTCACCTCACGCACACAAAGAACTGTTCTGTCTTTCTCACAATTCATGATCCTACATACGGTATGTATAATCTAAAAAATATTGAGCATAGAAAAATCCAAGAAACATTTTACACTACATTTTACAATCTATTTTCACTGTAAATTTGAACCTGTCTGGTTAAATAATTATAAAAATGGATGACTAAATAAATGAATGAATGATAAACTGAATAAATAAACAAACAAAATGTCATAATTATGCAACAATCTTTTTACTCCTGTATAATGATACATATTTATTTTTTCTTTCAGCTTTAGATGTTTTGAAACTAAGCCTTGTATTGTGAGATGAAATTTTTTTTGACCTAAACCTGCAATTTAAAGTACAAACGTAGCATTAAATACTTTCTACTTTATAGTGTTTAATTTAATTGTTGTGCAAGGAGAATGAAGTATACATATTACATATTGTGCAATTCTTAAAAATTGCTTAGGAAAAATATTCTGTTGTCCCCCTCATAGAATTAACTACTTTAATTATAGTAAAATGACATGCAGCACTTTATAGGCTAACAAATATTTATTACACGTATTCATGATGTTACTGTAATTATGAAATCTATGCAATTAATTATAAAGTATCACTATTTTATTTAAGTTATCTAACCATCTTATATCTCTGATTATGGATTAATATGTTTAAAAAAGGGGAAAGCCTTTTTTAGAACTATGTTTATTGCAGTGGAGTTGAATATCTTGGTGGTTAAGTTGAGTGAATTTCTACACTAATAATTATGTGTTCAGTTATGTGTGTTAAAGTGAAATATATCGTCACAAATAATGTTTTGGTTTTATATTCCTTAAAACAAGGTGGGATTTTAATGATATTGTATGTACAATATTGAAATGTTGATTGTTCAAGTGGGAAATGTTAATATAATACAAAAACATACACATTATAGAGTGGTACAGTTCTTTGAAATTTTCAATACAAGAACATCACTCAAGACTAGTAACATAATTAAATTTCTTCCAGAAGCTTCATACTGCATATCAATGAATGAATGCACTGTATAGTAATGAAAGCTTTTGGAATTTACAGTATGTCTGGTTTTTTTTAATCATTTTAAATGACCAACCAATGTTTTACATTATTTTTTTTAGTATTGGTCACATTTTATGCTAAATTATCTATATATTAGTACAAATATATTTTAATCATATTGTATTATACAATATGATTAAAATATATTTGTACTAATATACAGATAATTTAGCATAAAATGTGACCAATACTAAAAAAAATAATGTAAAACATCGGTTGGTCATTATTATGCAATGCATATTATGTTTCTCCAGTCAGAGATAGGAAGCTCACCACAAATTTGCTATCCATGTTTTAAATCTTGTTCTGTGGACAGATCTTTTGTAATCTACATTTTTCAATTATTTCTATTGATATATTTTATCAATATTATTGTTTTGTTATTAATAATATTATGGTGTGAGTGATATTTAGTATAGTGTAGTAGCAATTCAGTGAAGCAGTCTTTTCAGGTTTTGCTTAATAATTTTATCTTTAGTAATGTGCATTCGAAGAAGAAAAAATAACTGGAACCTTTGTTTTACTGTATTAATACAGGTTATGTATAAAATCCTATTACTGTACAATGTTTCGTCAGTGCAATATTCAGCTCATAATCATAAAGACTTTGTCAAGTTACCTCTCTATATTAGTGACACATCTCTGTATCAAATTAAATTCTCAATGTTCTTGATACTTAATTTCTAGTGCAAGAAATATACAGTATATTTTTTATTAACAGTCGACTTCTGTGAATATATTAGTATAAAACTCCAGTATATTAACTTTGTAGTTTCAGCACTTGGCATTCATTTGTATAAACATGCTATTATAATATTATATAATTGTGAATGCAAAGGTAATAAATATTAATCTAAGATCTACAGTACAAAATGGATTTTTTTTTTGGCATTTTATCATTATGATTTATCATTACCATAAGCATCATTTAAAGTCTGTTGATTCCTGCACTCTGTGGTTAGACCAATAAAAGTCTGTTTATTTAAAATTAAAACGGAACAGTAGAGAAAATCCGATCAGAATGACAAAATAAACTAAGCATCCACTGGAAGGAATCCCAATATCTACAGACGGATCCGTTTCGACCTTCCAGGCCTCATCAGTCCAGCTAGGATATAGACCCAAACGAAACGTTCGACCAGCTTAGGTAGGGCCCAAACTAGTCCCACGACCACTAATGATTACAGAGCCAAACCAAGGCAATATATATACACAGCCCAGGTGTAAATGCAAATAGTGGCATACAAGCTATATGGCTCGGTTCCAGTAGATACAGAGAATATTTTGTCATTCTTAACGCGTCCTACGAAATTCTTACGAGACAGCACTAGTCCGTGAATATGTGAACAAGATCAGAGATCTAAAGATGCAATCTCTACCGTGCATCAATGA